GGTCCATGTGCCTCACGATATATAACATGTATGATTAATATGATTTACGTACATTTTCAAACCTGTGTTTGATCCTCGTTATTTTTGAAATATATTTTTTACCCTTTCATTTTTAACTACATATTTTTCAATAAAATAATATTATAGATAAATTTAAAACTTTTTTTTAACTGCACATTCCCCATCAATTTACTATTCCAAAATGTATTATTACAATAAAATAAGGCTTATTCTAAAAATCTACCAATTGAGTAATATCAACTATGAAAAACATCGATCGGATTGCAATGATATCTATAGAACATCAGTACCATCGTTGAAAAACTTCGATTAGATGTTATGAAAGATAATTATCATCGCTAAATCACAAGAGAAATCCAAATTAGCAAAAATTACGTACATATAAATTTAAATTTAGTAGGTAATCCCATGTATGTATGCTAAAAAATATTTCGAAGCATCGTGAAGATGTTTTCCCTGTTTTCATTTTTGAAAATTTTTATTTTCTAAATTACTGGCATTATTTGTTGATAAAGTTTAGTAGATCATAACATTATTCAAAAAATGCTATAGTATAATTTATTCTTTAAAAAATAGCTCTCAGGGATTGATAATGACACTTTACCAACAAATTTGCTAACTGATAAATATCATTCAGTATTGAAAATCTAAATATTTTCCTCTAATATTTTGTGGCTACTATGAATGACACAAAAAGTAGCAATAATTGATGAACTTTCTTGAAATAAGCAAACTCCTCATTTATCATTTAGTCGGTGTTTGATTTTGATTCTATGAGTATCACTTATCTTTACTCATTTTCAATCACACCATTCTCGAAATATATTTTTTATTTATTTATTTTATTTTATTATTATTATTATTATTTTGCTTCTTTCATAAGTTTTTCTACTTTTAAAAAATATTTCACTAAAACAAAAATAATAAAAAAATAAAAAAATTCAAGAAATTATTTATCGAAAAGTCTTTATCAAACAAGTGCTTAATATACTTAAAAACGTAAACAAGAAGCAAACACGAGAATTTGAATAAGTCTTCTCATCTTTCCTTCACAAACAAAACATTGACAGGTATGAGATTGCTTGTAGTCCCAAGTTAACAAATAAAAACTTTTGAGTCAATGCACACAATTCTATATTGATCAATGATCAAAGTTAAATATTCATTTGGACTACAAAGTTTTCTTATTTATTACATTGAATTTCCATGCATTAACACCGATCATCTCCCATTCTTTATCGCCTTTCATAAAAATTCCCATTAACTGATAAACTAAGCTTGCAGCCATGGCAGAAGTGCAAGAAAAAGTGATAATAGTTGGGGCCGGTCCTTCTGGCCTTGCAACTGCTGCATGTTTAAGCCAATTCTCAGTCCCATATATGATTCTTGAGAGAGAAGATTGTTTCGCTTCACTATGGAAGAAATATTCATATGATCGTCTTCATCTTCACTTGGCTAAACAATTTTGTGAACTGCCCCATTTCAAGCTTCCCAGTTCTTGTCCAACCTATGTTTCAAAAAATGATTTCATACACTATTTGGATGAATACGTTTCTCATTTCAAGATCAATCCTGCATATGGAAAATCAGTCAAATCTGCTGTGTACGATGAACCCACAAAGAAATGGAAAATTCAGGCCCAAAATGTCAGTTCGAATAAAGTCGAAGAATTTTCATGCAGATTTCTTGTTGTCGCTACTGGAGAAACGTGTGATGCATTTGTACCTGAATTTGAAGGTCTAAATACATTTGCAGGAGAGAAAATTCATTCGACACAGTACAAGAATGGTGAAAAGTTTAGAGAGAAAAGTGTTTTGGTGATTGGGAGTGGGAATTCTGGGATGGAAATTGCACTTGATCTTGCAAACTATGGTGCCAAGACATCCATTGCTGTTCGAAGCCCGGTAAATATTATCTGCAATTTTGTCATCACTCACTATTTCATTTTTTTTAAAATTCTTTTTTCTGTCTACAATTACCGATCGTAGGATTGAGAATCATGTTAAATTTTATATTTATCGATCCTTTTATTTGCTTGTGCAGATTCATATATTGTCAAGGGAAATGGCATATATGGGACTATTTTTGCTGAATTATGTGCCCTTCAATTTTGTTGATAACTTATTGACATTTCTCAGCAAATTAATCTATGGAGACTTGACCAAACATGGAATCAAAAGACCACAAGAGGGCCCATTTGCATTGAAAGTTAAGTATGGAAAGTACCCAGTCATTGATGTTGGGACCTATCAGAAAATCAAGAATGGAGTCATTCAGGTTTGTCGTTGACTTCTTGTATTGAATAACATATTTTTATTTTAGGTTTCTGGTTACGTTTGAATACCGAAAATGTTAAGATAGACAAATAATTACTTTAGAATTTTGACAGAGGTAATAATGAATCGTATTGAATGAAGAAAAAAAATTGCGATTATGGATAAATTGTTTGTTATGTACAAACAGGTGCTGCCTGGAATAACAAACATAAAAGGCAATGATGTGGTGTTTGAAAATGGGAAAGAACACCCTTTTGATGCTATAATATTTGCAACTGGCTTCAACAGATCCACAAACCAATGGCTTAAGGTACACAGTTCATTTTTCTTGTCCAAAAAATTTGAACTTATATTGATTACTTGTTGAAGTAAAACTTCAAAAGGTTTTTCCAGATATTCATGAACTTTCATACATATCTCAATTTAATTTTAAAAAATCCAATATTATAACTTTAGTCGTTTCCATTATTCTTATAATTGCAATAATACATGATATATGTGTTTTAGAACTAAATGAAAAAGAAGGATCGAGAATTTTTCAAAACATTAAGCGTTTTTAATATGATTAACACCTAATGAATTATTTGAAGTGTATTGTACTCAACAGGATCGATCAGTACACTCATTCAATGATTTTTTAATTACCATCGCTTAATCTTAGAATGATGCGACAATATTAAGGAATAACACCAACTTGTACGGTATTGTGTATCAATCATGCATGAGACAAAATGAAGTACAATGTTAGAAATAATGGGTAAAATAACTCGTGCAGGGCGATGATTATCTTTTGAATGAAGATGGACTTCCAAAGCCTAGTTTCCCAAACCATTGGAAGGGTAAAAATGGACTTTATTGCAGTGGACTTTCCAGGAGAGGATTCCATGGAGCTGCCTTGGATGCCCAAAACATAGCAAATGACATCAAAGCTCTACTTTGAAAAATCTGAGAGCTTGGTACATTTGTTAAGTTATTTAAAGTGTTCATAATGTCTGAGTAATTAAGAATAACTTACTTTTACTTTTAAGTGTTTTACTTTTTTGAATTCTTGAAGGCTGTATAAGAGTTAGTTGTTTAATTCCATTAATTTGAGTGACATTAATGAAAGTTGCACGTTCCTTCTTGCAATATTTGAAACTAGGAAATGGTTCTTTTTTTACTATAAAAATACAATCTTCACAAAAATTATGTCTCCAACATCTCAACTAGTCGTCTAATGTAGCCACATAGTGTTGTCCTTATCGATGCCACCAACATCACTTATTCTTTATTTACTTGTTAAAATATCCAAATACAAAGGCAAAAGAAAACACATGTATTTGTACAAAAACATGTACTTTTGCAACAAGAGGCTCATCATTAAAAACATTCAAATTAGAAACAGTGTTGATATGGAACTCGTGTAGATCTATATCTTGTCTTCTTCTCCTAGGAAGTCGTTATATAGGTTTGACGAGACGGATCCAGAATCAAACTAAAAAATATATATATAAATAAATTCAAACCAGGCTAATTGCTAAAGTGGAAATATCACCACACACTGAACTTTTAATAAAAATTCATTTTTTACATTTCCAATTTTTTTTCACCAAATATACCGCAATAGTTGTAGTATAAATGAAAATTGTAGAATATATTCATTTCCATATCTAATATATATATAAAAGAAGCATAAATGATTCCAACGAATATGCTCCCATTAATTACCCTCAATTCATGCCCCAAATTCCCCAGACCATCCATTTTTACCTTTCTGCAACAGAAGTAA